CGCCCGTGCCCGCCGCGCGGCGCGGGTGAGCCTGACAAGAGCTGGTTGGGGTGTTGGGTGGGGGCTCGGAGGCACAACGAGGTCACTGACCTTCCTGACGCGCCCCACCCAGGGTCCCATTGCCAGACATCGCAGAGTGAGAGCAATTCATTTTGGGACACGAGCCCCCTGCTGCTGGGAAAACCCCTGAGAGGTGAATTACAGCCTAGGTGGGGCGGTGTCCGGCTGTCCTTCCAGGGGGGTGACGCTGACTTCCGTATTCCTCGGCTGGCACAGACGAAGACAGCTCCGAGGAGGACTCAGATGAGTGCCGATGCGTGAGTGGCCGGTGCGTCCCCAGGTTGGGCGGCGCCGTGTGCGAGTGTCCTGGTGGCTTCCAGCTGGACACCTCCCGCTCCCGCTGCGTGGGTGAGCAGGACTTCGGAGGCAGAGCGGTGGGGCCAGCGGGGGTGGGGGTGGGGTTGCAGCCCCAGGCCAGGACTGGAAGCTCAGCAAAGGCCTCACTGTCGCCCCCTACTGCAGACATCGATGAGTGCAGAGAACTGAACCAGCGCGGGCTGCTGTGCAAGAGCGAGCGCTGCGTGAACACCAGCGGTTCCTTCCGCTGTGTCTGCAAGGCAGGCTTCTCTCGAAGCCGCCCGCACGGGGCTTGTGTGCCTCAGCGCCGCCGCTGAGCAGCCTTGGAGATCATCCGATCACCAAGAGGTTTCAGTTGACACTGGGGGCAAGCTCAGTCTCTCGCTCCTGCCCCAACCCGGCATTCAGACCCAGGGACCCTCCAGGGCCTGCAGAACTTTTCTGCACTCCAAGGTCGGAGGGTGCCCACAGAGGTCCCCATTCATGGTTGGGTGTTGGGTCTGCCGGGCACTGTTGGCCTTCCTGAGGATGAGTCCTAGAAACTGATAAATCAGATCATGCCTCTTTGATTTATTCTTGGCTTTCAAAGCAAACTGATGTTCACATCTGTGGTTGGCCAGGACTGCAGGGCAGCACCAGACCCCAGCCACCTTGGAGGAGCCAGACGGAGCCCAGGACAGGGTGTGTGAAATAGAATTTATTGTGGCTCTGATTATGTACACGTGAGAGATGCCTGGCAGGCTGGCCGGGCTCACATGGTTTGTACAATAAATACAATGCTGGGCCTGCTTTTGCACTGGAACGGCCCACCCCAAGGGTTCAGTCCAGCTTCCGGGCTCCCAGCTTCATGGGGCCTTTTGCTGCCTTCTTCTCTGCGCGTTTGGCCTCCATCTCCCGCCTCCGTTCCTCACGCTTTTTCTTGGCCAGCTCAGCCTTTGCCTGCCCTGGGGAAGGGAAGGGAAGGGAAATGAAGGCTGACCTGTCCAGGTATCAGCTCCCCAGCCTCTCCTGCCTCGGCTGCCACCCCTCCAGGGAAAGCACTTACGGCTCTCGGTCTCCAGGCCCTCCCAGTTGTCTTCACCCCATGAGTCCACATCTGGCTTGGGCTGAAAAAGTAAGTTCTGGCTACAGTAGGGCTGATACTCAGCTGAGGTCTACCCCATTCTGCACCCTCACTTGACCCATACCTGGGCACTGGAACGCACAGACAGGGCAGCAAAGGGGTCGCCCTTCTCACTGGGCTCTGGGCCACCCCAATTATACTCGCTGGCCAGCCTCGTGCCTTCAGGAGGTGGCTCTGAGGAGCTGGACTCTTGCCAGCCCTGCTCCCAGGATCCCTTGGCCTCCCAGCTGCTCCAGTCTGACTCTGTGGATTTGTGGTCCAGGTGGCTGACCTGCAGAATAGCGTGTGCTGAGAGGAGAGGGGGCAGGTAGATCCTACCCCAATACACACAATGCACCCTGACTGACCCAGCTCACCTGCCCAGCTTGGCTAGTCTGGCCCCTCGAATTCCAGTCATCCTGCTGGGCCAATACAGACTCAGCCTCCTGCTGCAGAGTGAGAAGGAGGGCACGTGACCAGTAACACTCCGGACGCCCAAAAGGCCCTTCCCAGCCAAGGGCTCCACCCTGTGGTCTCCCTGTGCATGTGTGTGATACTGGGGATTGAAACCAGGACCTTTGCACTGAGCAACACGCCCCCACTTTGGAGGGGATCAAATTCAGGACCTTGTGCTTGCGGCAGAAACACTGAGCTAAATCCCCCCGCTTTTTAAATGAAAAAAAATTTTTTTTGAGACAGGGTCTGGATATGCAGTTCAGGCTGGTCTGGAACTCAAAGTGATCCTATCTCAGCCTCTAGAGTGCTGGGATTAAAGGTATGTGCCAGCATACCTGGCTTTTTTTTTTTTTTTTTTTTTGTTTTTTGGTTATTTGAGACAGGGTCTCACTATATAGTTGAGACTGACCTAGAACTCACTGTGTAGCCCAGGCTGGTCTCGAACTCACAGCATTCTCCTGCCTTAGCCTCCAAAGTGCTGGGATTACAGGAGTGCGCCACTATGCCTGGCTACCTGGCTTTTAATGAATTGGGTTCTTTTTCTTTTTGCTACCGGGGATGGAACTCAGGACCTTGCACTCGCAAGGCAGGCAGTGGAACCACTGAGCTAAATTCCTGGCCTAATGAATTGTTTTTAAACAAGGTCTCACTAAGTTGCTAAGTAGCCCAGATTGGGCTTGGAACTTGTGAACTGCCTGTCTCAGCCTCCCAAAGTGCTAGGATTACAGGCAATTGCCACCATGCCCAGCCACCCCTGTAGTCTTTATCTTCCTTCTCACTTACTTCCCTGTCTATAAAATGGATACACTGACCCCTCCCTGACATGGCCCATCTTTAAGGCCAAGGAAAAGATATAGATCTCAGGGTCCAGAGACTGTGGTCAGCCAGATGGGGAGACTGGCCCAGAGCTCTGTGATTCTTTTCAAGGCAGCCCACTTCTCCACCCATCCTTGGCAGCCCCCAGGCCTGGTCTGGTTGAGGCCTGGCTTGGCCTCTTCTTGCTGACCCTGAGCAGGGTGGGCACTGTCACAGGTGGATAAGGGACAGGGTGCAGAGGAGAGTGGCAAGTCAGGGGCTATTCAACCACTGCCCGCCTGTGTGTTTTCCACCATGCTCCGGGGGCCCTGGAGTTGAGTGTGGGCTCAGCTGCTGGCTCCGGCCTACAGGGCCAATTCTATGAGCAGACCTGCAGGGGTGCTGTGCAGAGGGCAGGTCTGACTCCAGGGAGCCCCACGCATGCCTGGGGTCCCCTAGGGAGACCTGAGACCACTCACCTCCAAGCTGCCCCAGTCCTCGTCATCCCATCTGTCAGCAGAGCTGCTGTCCTCCTCTTCACCTTTGTCCTCTTGCTGTGTCTCCCAATGGCTTGAGGTTGTGGGGGTAGCAGGGACTGGGTTGGGGGCCGGGGTAGGATGTCCTGGGAACAGAAGTCCCTGAGTTCTCAGGGAGGTCTTTGGACAAGGAGTAAGATGAGGGAGGGGGACCAAGGAAACCCACAAGGGGATCAGACTCCACCTCATCCCCTAGGTCCCCATCACCATTCCAGAAGCCAGACAATAGCAGCCCCTGGGGGACAGCACCTCCTGGCCCTCTGAGTCACTGTGCAGCCAGGCTGGAGCACTTACCCTCTGGTGACGGTCTCTGGGGCACATTGGTCTCAGCTAGTGTGGCCGTAGGGTGTGCACGGATCAGCTTGGAGGTGAGTGAGGAGACTCCAGTCACAGCCCAGCCTGCCCAGCTGGCTGCCGCTCCTCCCATCCCAGGGCTAGAGGCTGCATGGACATCTTTCTCTGAGTAGTGTGGGAGAGAGAGGCAAGTATGGGCACCTCAGGCTCGGCAGGGAGGGGAAAGGAGGGCAAGTGACCTGCAGCTGTGCCCTCTCTTCTCCAGGCCTGGGTCCTCCCATCTATGAGTAGAAGGGAGAATCAGTTCTGCTTACTGGGGTTTTCCCAGCTCTCAGAAACACCAATGGGACAGGACACACCAAATGAGTGTCAAGGACATGGGGAAAAGGAACACAACAGTAGGCCACTCACCTACTTCTGCCAGCTGGGTGGGATCCTCTGACACAGACTCGAGTTTGGACAAGAAGCTTCGAATGGCTTTGAAGGCCTGTGGGGTAGCAAGGGGCAGAGCTAGGGAATCCCAAGTCTCTGATAGCCTGCAAGGCTGGCCAGGCCCACACAGCCCCTAGAGCCCCAGCCCCAAAGTCAGGCTTCAGCTGCGCCTTACCTGCTCCCGCACAGATTTTTCAGGATCCACAGTGAGGCCACAGAGCACAGGCAGGATCTTGTGGGCACAGTCACTCAGTGAGTAGAGGTTGTGGGTGGCAGCAAAGCCCAGGACACCCGCGACCCGGGATGGGGCAAATGGGTCTTTTGTGGCCCGGCTGAAGGCGGAGATGAGGACCCTGTGTCTGGTCTGGTGGGGCAGGGGAGAAGACTCCTAAGTGTTGGGTTAACACGGGGGCCCAGAGCCATGAGGTCTTACCTTCTGGAACAGGGAATTTATCATCACTAACAACCTCAATGGGGAGAATTTACCTAAAACTCAACCTGGCCTCCTCCTCCCAACCACTGGGCTCCAGGCTGCCTCAGGGAAATGGGCCAGAGCAGCAGCTGCTCAGTGACAGGCACATGCCTTTCCTCCCCGCCCTGCTGACTCAAGCTACTCATTCCTGTTAACTCTCTGGGTATCACAAATGTCCAAGGTTACAGACCCTGGCTGAGGAGATGAACAAGCAGGCCCAGGTTCAGATCCCAGGTCTACCTTCTATAGGCCGTGTGCACCCGGCACAACCCACGCCAGCCCTGGGAGTCCAACACTGGAGCTAGGAGTGCCCAGGGTCCAGGTCTCTGGGGAATGAGGGAACCAGCACACAGGCATCCTGGGCCTGGGACACTCACGCCGGCGCTGAGGTAGGAACCGATTTTGCCCAGGCAGACTGTAGTGTTGCAGCGGATGGGGCCCTGTTCATCCTTGGCCTGCAGCCGTGCGAAGTGCTTCATCAGCTCCACATTGAGGTTGGTCTCATTCAGCTTTGGGGCCAGGAGCAGCATGGACTGTGGGGTGAAGAAGACAGTAGGCAGACAGGGCAGGGCAGGAATGGCCCCCTGGAAGAGTGTACTGGCCACTGGTGCACTGGCTCTGAGCAGAGCTGCAAAAGCCACTGGCATGTTGGCAAAGGAGGTTCCCCGTTTCTCTGTCGTCCTTTATAGCAAGGCATCAGAAGTTGTTTGCACTTCTGATTCCCATTTCTCTCCTCTGCTCTCTGCTGTCTACACACCACTTAGACTCACTCCCTACCAAGTTGGCTCAGGCTGAGAACACTGATGACCTCCACACTGCTAAATTCAATGGTCAATTCTCTGTCCTCACCAAACCTGAACCTTCAGCAGTTTTAATACCCCCAAGTTCTCTCTCCTCCTTAAATTTTTTGTCTCCAGTCTTCCAGGACATGAGTCCTTCCTGAGCCTCCCCCAAACCCGAACGGGCTGCTCCTTTTGCTGCAATCTTAATGTCCAGACATCCCAGAGTGAATCCATTGACCTATATTACATTTTACACTCTTCACCTGAAATCTCCCATTTCCTGGTTTTAATAGGCTCACTTATTAGCTGGCAGACTGCAGATGTGCACCCTAGCCCAGATTTCTCCCCCAAACTTCACATGTGCGTGGCCAGTGGCCAGCTTGACATCTCCACCTGGCTGTGAAGCAGACCGAGTCCAGCGGGGGCCCGGCCTCCTGTTAACCTGGCCCTTAGTCAGACTGTCACTGCTCTGGACTTACTAGAGAACGCCCTAGGTCCTTGCCACACCCCACTGTTACCCCTGGACTCTACCTCCCACAACCATTCCCCTTTGACCAGGCTAAATCTCTTGCTGTTACTTTTATAGTCCTTTCAGCCACAAGGCCTTTGTACCTATTTCCTCTTCTCCTATAGATCATTCCCTGGCCCCCTTTCCTTAAAGGTTCCTCAGCAAAGTGGTCCCATTTTTTAAAAATTGAGACAGGGTTCACTCTGTAGCTCAGGCTGTACTCAAACTCACAGCAATCCCCCTGCCTTAGCCTCCCAAGTGCTGAGATTAAAGTGTACACTACCATGCCTGGCAAGGTGGTCCCATTCTTGAAACTGCAAACCCTCTCTGTACACTCCCCCTTATTTCCTAACATAATATATATTTTCTTTTTTTTGGTTACCAGAGATCAAACTTGGGACTAACTCTTCAGAAGCAGGTGG